CACACACACACACACACACACACACACAAACGGCTAACACAACAATAAAAAAGTGCTCACTTAAAAATCTGCAAAATAGTCGGGTATGAACAATGAATTGCAAGAGTAAGCATTGAATGAACTGTTCATCAAATGACATGTCTTGTCTATTCCATGTACAGCAATTGAGAGGGGCGAGGGTGATGGAGTGGGCAAAACAGAGCCACAGCGAATGCCTGATTCATTCATTCTTCCTGAAAATGTCAACGAGATTTCCGGAGGTAAGATAAATGCTCACACAGGTGCCAGGTTGATCAGGTGTCATATGTACGTTAATGTGGTCCTCAGATGAATAAAATAAAACACAAATGTGTTTGCTTTATTGAGGGCTGGTGATGAATTGATGCAGCACGAACAGATGTTTGGCCATTTTCAAACAGCTGTTGATTACAACCCAAAGGCCCCCCAAAAATGTGCGCCCAGGGTCTTTCCATGACCAGCTGGGTAAGATGGGGAATTTCTTCCTCCATGCTGAGTCTTGGTGCTTCTCAGTGACAGGAACACCCACCTTTTGAAAGCGGCACACAAACAGATATCAAATGCTAATCCTGTTTATATTCTGTTGGTAAATCATTCAGAGTTGTGTACACATGGCTGAGTGATATATTTATGAAGGTCTTGCGTATTTGTGGTTTCCTATCAACTTGAACTACCTTGCCCCACACAAGATTGTCTGGCTTGTCATCTTCAAACCAAGATCTTATTTGAACTGGCAGTAATACGCTACACGTTTGAATACCTTGTATTTCGAATTCAGTGAAAAGAGAGAGACAGGAAAGGATTATTTCTGCTTGGTCACCACCTGACGAAATGACGCTGTGTTCTTGAATGTGTTCATTTTTACACTTGTATGATGAAAGCGCCTTTCTAATTTGGATGTTTCACTGTATATATTGCACAAAAGTACACACACGGACAAAACAAAACCACATATCATTTCCTGGGTTTGTGCGGTTCTTTACTTCAAAGGAATCTTCTGTATATTATTAAAGGTGCTTTCTGTGTTCTTATAAAATGTACTGCTCCAAGAAATAAGCCACACTTGTGGCTTGAAGTGCTTTTAACTGCTTCTAATAGAACAGGACGTTTTAAACACAAACTATAAGTCACTTTTGGAAAAAAAAACCACTTCATTCATTCATTCATTCATTCAAGCATGTTGTGTGAAACAGAATTTCAACAGACAGAACCTCATTTTACACCTTCAACATTTGTTCTTGTTTCAGCACACATGCACGTTAGCCTGGTTTATTATTCAAATTTCACTTTGCATGAGGGTGATTTATCATAAGGCACCAAGGGAATGCAACTTCACAGATTTATTCTGGCAGCTTCAATTAAGACAATTTCTGTTTACTCTCAAAGTAGAAGACAACAGAGTATACACCAAGAGAGTGAGAAAAATTCTGATTCTGATTATTTTCTCAAGAACTTTGAGTGTATACGCTGCTAAAGTTATGAGACCACCTGTTATAAGGATGAAATGAGACCATCCAACATTATTTCGTGTATCGATGCGGACTCTTTCAATTTCGTTGTTCTCCCAGCATTTCGCCATTTTGAACAGGAGTTGGGAATCACCTTTTTCTTTTCTATTGCAGAATGCAAGTGGATTACCATAATTTGGCATTTTAATCAATATTTTTTTCATCTTGATTACCGTACTTTTTTTTCGGTGCTTTATTTTGCTTTTCATATAGAAATGGTCCCTGAAATGATACAGTCACAGATACTTAAAAATAGTGACAAACCGATCATTGGCCCGGCTGATTATTGGTGCTGATTTTTGCCATTTTGGCATCAGTCATTTTTTCCAATTCAAATCCAATATGCGATCAATTAAAAATAAAACGCTGGTAGCTCACACTTGTGACCCAATGAGGATGCACTTTTTGCTTTTTGAACTTCACATAATGATTATAATGAGTGATAAGTGAAAGACTCAAATTTCAATCATCCTGAATTTTTGAAAGACTTTATTTATTGTAGAAAACTTTAGGGAGCTATTAATTTGTTACTCCTTAGCCTGCAAGCTCCCTCCACTTTTCGTTAGACAATTTTCAACACAATCGATAATTTGATTTAATTTCAAAGATTAAAAATGACTCTCCTAACCCCCTGAATAAACCCGACCCTGGAGGCTGAAGAGTGTGGACTGGCTGGTCTGCCAATCCAGAGGCACTGTCCCCAATGCCCGTGTGATGTGTCATATGTCAACAAGGACAGCCCCACAACGTCATTAGGAACTGCGGCTGGACCTCACCCACTGCCGCAGCCACCGAGGAGCTTTTTAACCACCTCCGTTACCTCAAGCTCAGAGATAGGAGAACCCACATCAACCTCCCTGGACTCTACATCTGCATGGGAAGGTGTCAGCCAAATTGAAGGTTCTAACTGAACCTGCCCTCGGAATTTTTTTTAAACACATTTAATTTAATCTTTCACAGTGACAGGAAATAATATGACCTCCTGATTTAAAATATTTTTTTTCTAACTTGCAGAAATTAACAGTCTTTTTTTTAATAGACAGATACATATCAAGAAAAAAAAAAACATAAGAATCAAATAATTTTTGCCCTTGCTCAATCTCCTCATCCTCTTCTTCTCTCCGTAGCAAGATTAGACATTTGAGTTTCCCTCGGGCTGCTTTATCACAACCATTCACTGCAGCAGGGGTGACCTTCATTAGTGTTGTGCCTCACATCTCTCGGGGTTTTTAATAGTATGCCGCTGTGCGTCAGTAGAGTCAATGAATGCGTTGCGTGTCTCCGAGCTTTTGTGTACTGTGGTGATGATAATGTCACGCTCCGGATGAGTGAAAGGTGTTCTTTCATGTTCCACTGTGACTTGTGAAAGTTTCTATGCATGCTGGTGTTAGCGCTTATATTTCTCCATTTCAATTAATGCTTCTGGGCGGGGTGTGTATTCTTTATCCCATGTTTGATATGAAGTATCAATAAGTCCCCGGTGTAGGCTATTTACAATATATTTCATCAATATGGATAGACAGTACGGTAGCACGGTGAAGTAGTGGTTGCACGTCTGCTTCACCATTCTGAGAATTGTCCAATGTGGCTATGTGGAGTTTGCATTTTCAGCATTTCAAAAATAACAGGCATGTCAGACAGAGGTGTAACATCACGGTGATATGCCCCAGTGCAATTTTTTTTTTTTTTTTTGGTGCCCAGACCCCTGCCAAAACAAAAGCGCATGCATGCACGCATGGTCACATGTGCGTGCACACTTTTGGAAGCTCACACACGGCCACGCAAGAGAACCGTTATTGTCACCATGTGTTTTTGCAGGGTGTCCAATTTTCATATTGTGATTTGTATATTGAACATTAACAATATCACTAAAAATGTTGCAATATATTACATATTATATGACAGAAGTTCCCGCAACAAGTGCACACAGCCAAATTCATCCTCTGAGGCGGCGGTGGCGAGGAAATCTCTTTTGAACGCCCAGAGAAACGAGAAGCGGCGCTATATGGTCATTGCCACTTCACACATGGAGCTAGTTGGCAAGTTATGGGGGTTTTAAAAAAAGCACACATAATTATAATGACAATAGGCGACACAGTGATTGATTGGTTAGCACATCTGACTCACAGTGTAAAGGTGCAGGGTTCGATTCCGGCTCCGACCTTCCTGTGTGGAGTTTGCATGTTCTCCCCATGCCTGTGCGGGTTTTCTCTGTGTACGCAAAAGGTCAAAAGCTGCAAGGGGGTCAAATACTTTTGCAAGCTTACTTTTGTATGCTTGTTTTGCTTGTCAAAGCAAGAACAAACTCATTAGTGAGACCGGTGTTAGGCAGTTATTTATTTTCATAGGAAGTCGGGCCTAACCATTGTTTCCTCAAACATGATTGCTGATAGATGATTATTTGGACAGCTGTGTGATATCAGATCAGACAGTAATGTTTAAATGTGTGTGTCACAGATGTTGTTAACTGGCCTAGCCTCCACTAGTAAAACAGATTTTAATCTCCAGTTGAGCCCAAAATGTAAATCATAACTGATCTTGATGCAGTCTGTTCCCCTTGAAATTACCATTTATTAAAAATTTGACTCCAAAAGCACACACGTTTATTCTTCTTCACTATCAGCTTCAATTTTCTTTCTTGCACTGAGAATTGCTATAATCAAGGCTGCGAATGATGACACACAGTGTGCTCTTACCTAACTAAATGTTTTAATTCTGTGGGGGAAAAGTATAAAATAATCCACTTTAATTAGCTCTTGGTTGAACAAGTTTCGGAATCACGATACTGACAAAAACGCCTACCGTGAGACACATGATCCTTTGGTCTCATTGTTGTCCATTGTGTGGACTTCAATTCCTTGAGTGCAAAGTAGAATATACGTGCCGATGTGAACAAGCGAATAATAAGAGTATGTACAAATATGAACTTGTTCAAGAGCACTCAAACAATCAGAACATGAAACCACTGGCATACACTCTCAAACTCCCTTTGCTACAGTGCATTTTTTTAAACACACACACACACACACACACACACACACACACACACACACACACACACACACACACACACGGACACACACACGGACACACACGGACACACACGCACACATGCAATAAACCCAAGGGACCAATGTAGAAGTTGAACTGGAGGCCAATGAGATTCTCTTGACATTGAATACTCTGATAGTGAGAGACGGGCGGAAGAGTCATCTTAGAGCATCACCCCTACAAAGTCACCACCTCACAGGTAGCTCTGTGTCAGACATCCGTTATTAGAGACACTATTTGAGGGCTTTGGTTCTGTAATTACCTCGATTAAGGAGGTTGCTTGGCACCCTCCTGAAGGCCTTTTAATTTAGAACTTGTATTTCCTCCTTGTAGCAGGTGCTCCTGCTGACTGTGCCACAGACAACACCGCTCCTACATCTGTTGTTCCTTTTCTCTATTCATCTACTGCGGCTTTATTTTTATGATTATTTGCTATGATTCATTCATTAGCAGTGCTGCCAATTTTGACCATAGCTTTATCCTTGTTATACATTTAATGCTGTACGTTTCGCTCTGCCCTCTGTCTCTTGGGGTGGTTCGAAACCTGTTTCTTATGTGAAGTGCCTTGAGATGCCTTGTGTTGTTAATTTATACAAGTGCACATTTGCCAGGTTTAAGTTTACTTTGGAAGACAGCTTCAAAACATAAGAGACAACAATGGGCAGCAACGACACAGTAGGACA